GTTTCCCCCCCCCTTTTCGAGTTGTAAGCCGCCCTGAGTCCCCCCAGGGAAAAGGGCGGCATATAAATAAATTACTCTACTCTCTACTCTACATAGTTACAGGTAGTACCCAACCTATGACCATAACTGATTCAGTTGTGGCCAATCTTTCCGAAAGAGTACCCAGGCAATGTGCAACGTGTGGCCTGCCTACAGAGGCCACCTTGTGCCATTCTGAAAGTGGGCATCATTAGGGCAATCTCAGAAGAGCGTAATTTTCCAAATGGAGTGATTTGAAAAGTCATGTCTTTCTTTTCCTCCCCAAGTTTTTTGTTTTTTATAAATGTATCAAATCAATGCTTGAACAGTTTGGCACCTGGGTGTCATGCAGTCTAGTACAAATAAAACTAATAAAGTTAATCATAATTATTACATTCAATCAACTTATGTATTTCTAATAATAATACGTGTTTATATTAGGTTGCAATCTCTCATTGTTCAGTTGTTCCACATTTTCTCTTATTACTTTCGTTTTATTATATAAATGTGTATAGACTAATATTTCCCCTTCTCTTATTTCTATCACTTATTCCAGCTTTTAATCGTGTCATCCTTTATTAAAAGACTTTTCTTCTCTTTCCTATCTAACTTCTAATCATGTCACCTACCTAAAGAAAAAGTGATAAGCAAAGAGAGAGAGAGAGAGAAAACGAGAAGCAAATCAGAACAGCAACGAAAAAGAGAAATCATCCATCCATCGTCTCTTGCCTGCTCCAATACCTTTAATTGTTATGCTCTAAGAGGAAAGAGAGGGAAGTGGAAAAGCAAATCAAAACAGCGATAAAAAAAATCTATCCATCATCTCTTGCCTGCTTCAATACTTTAGTTGCTATGCTTTTTTTTTTTTTACTTGCCTTCCAGATTCTTCTCTTAAATCTTTATCTCTGTCTATATCTGCTTCTTGGGTGTTCAATCCAGAAATCATGTCTTTCTGAGAGATTGTGAGAATTACAGCTGCTTCTAGCAGCTGCTTCTGGAATGGCATGAGGTGGCCCCTCTAGCAAGGTCATACATTGCATTGACTTCCTCTCTTGGAAAGGCAACCTTCAAAGGAGGTCAGCGGAGCAAGCTGTGTTGAGACAGGGAGGAGACCCAAGGCCTCTGGGATTCTTCAAGGGAGGATGGAGGTGAAAGATTGCTGACTGTCCCTATGGTCAGTCGTAAGGGCAGTGGGTTGCTAAGTGCATGGATTTTCACCACGTGATTGTAGGAGTTCTGCAATGACTGTAACTTAAGAGTACAGGTCATTCGTCCTTTCATTCAGCACCATTGTACAGGTAGTCCTCGATTTACGACCACAATTGAGCCCAAAATTTCTGTTGCTAAGTGAGAAACTTGTTAAGTGAGTTTTGCCCTATTTTATAACCTTTCTTGCCTCAGTTGTTAAGTGAATCACTGCAGTTAGTAACCCGGTTGTTAAGTGAATCCGGCTAACCCATTGACTGCTTCGTTAGAAGGTCGTAAAAGGTGATGACATGATCCCGGGAAACGGCAACAGTCATAAATATGAACCAGTTGTCAAGCATCTGAATTTTGATCACATGATCATGTGGATGCTGCAAAGATCATAACTGTTTTTCAGTGCTGTTGAACAGTCACTAAATGAACTGTTGTAAATCAAGGACTAGCTGTAATTTCACTCCCTGAACAAATGGTTTTAAGGTGAGAACTACCAGAACTTTTTCAGCTGAAATATTGCTAGTTATTTGGCCTAAAGATAGGCTAGAGAAAAGCATCACATACTGTGTAAAACCAGCATTTGTAACATGGATGTCATCGGTAGGTGCAATAATGCTTGCAGGGCATGGTAAAACCAAGGCAAGATAAGTGTGTGATCTATCTGTTTTGCAAAAGGTTATATTTTCTGCCTATGAAAAGATCCAGCGCTATGTATTAATATGACATTACAATAACATCTTGTATTGTTTATATTATAGTAGTGAATTCAACCAGTGACTATTGATAAGTATAAAACATAAGACGTAATTATTGCTGAAGGAGCCATCAGAGATTACAGTTTTTCATAAGCCACTGTAACTTTTAATGCAGCATTTCTCAGTCTGGGCTGTTTTAAGATGTATGGACTTCAGCTCCCAGAATTCATGCAGGCTGGGGAATCCTGGGAGTTGAAGTCCACACATCTTAAAATAGCCCAGGTTGACAAACACAGTTCTAATGCCATTGCTTTCCATCAGGGCACTCCTGGTTCTCCTGGACAGCCTGGGCTGAAGGGCCCGAAAGGTGATCGGGGCGAAAGGGTAAGTCAATTTTTAGATTTATGCCAGATCACTGGTGTGGTTCACCAGATCTCTTTTACGCATTTAAAATATGCATGATGAACTTGATGATATGCATGATGAGTCAATGGACATAATTGGAATTTTGGAAGCATGTTTTAGGCATCCTCACATAGTGATTGCTTGGCTTGCTTGCTCACTTAAGAGTTCCTTCATCTACACCATTGTTTCTCCATGTTGGCAACTTTAAGATGTATGGATTTTTCAACTCTTAGGATTCCCCAACAGATATACCAGTGTGAGGAATTCTGGGAGTTGAAGTCCACACGTCTGAAAGTTACTAAAGTTGAGAAACTTTGTTCTACCTTTTCTTCAAAATTCTATCCCGACTGACCTGTTAAAAGATATGGGAAACTAGATTTATCCCTGAGTGAATCAGAAGGCTGTAATTCGTCTTTGTTTCCATTTCCTAAAAATTCAAGTGGGACTCATATGAAGAAATAAGGATTAAGTGGGAGGCTATTGTTGATCTTGCAAAGAGCCAGCTTTCCATCTTTTAATTAAAAGAGTGAGGAGGAAGTCTTTCTGGGATCAAAGATATTTCCTGAAGGAACCTTCGTGTTACATGATGCAATTGTGATATTGGGCTGACTAATTCCACACAGTGCTGGAGTACATCATAGGCTTGGATATGGCTTGCTATTTGGTAACTATACAATGTCAACTCACATCTCAACATTCTCATCGTTGTTACCTGTAATGCAAGGGGAACTGTCCTTAATTCCCCTGCCTGCAGGTAGTCCTTGATTTATAACCGTAATGGATCCTGCCCATCACTTTCGTAAGACGCAACAGACATAAATCGGGTCAGCAGTATGACTGACCCGATTTTATGACCTTTTTTGCAATGTTAAGTGAACTCATAGCAATAGCAATAAAATTTTAGGCTTATATACCACCCCATAACTCTTTATAGGAGTCTCTGAGCGGTTTAGACTTAGAATAACTTTGTTGTCACTTTGAATGCACACTAATTGGCATACATTAAAATGAAATTGTTGTATGCAACTCTCAAAGGGTCTCCACCTCCTCTATTCACTAAATAAACATGACTAAATAAATAAATACAAAAGTATGCATATACCACATATATTATATGACACGGAGAAACAACACAGTCTAGTTCGGATGTATACATGTACATGGTGAGAGAAACGAATCTTGAGAGTTTACCAGGCAGATGGCATAGAGGAAAAAATTGTTACAGAATCTGGTAGTCCTGCTAGAAATGCTTTGAAATCTCCCCCCAGAGGGGAGCAACAAAAACAGAAGTACAATGTAAAAGCATTATTTGCATACTGCCCCCAACAACCTGACTCCTCATTTTACTGACCTTGAAAGGTTGGAAGGCTGAGTCAACCTTGAGCTCCCTCAGGATTGAACTCCATGCTGTGGACAGAGTTTGCCTGCAATATTGCATTTAACCCCTACACCACCAGGGCAAACTCATGGGTTTCTATAAGCTAAAAACGGAAAGTAAATACTGGCTTTTGGTTAAACACACACACAGCACACTGCCTCAGGTACCCCCTCGTGGCCAACCAGCCTCTCTGATCCCTGCTCGGAGTCGGAACCCTGTCCACGGTCCTCCACATCTTCCAGAGCCGATTCATAGGGCCCTCGCTGTCGGAGTCTGTTTGCAGCTCCAACGGCTCCTGCTGGGCCACAACAACATGGGATGCTGCAAATGGCAGTAAATGTAACCCAGTTGCCAAGCTCCTGAAGTGCGGTCATGTGACTACGTGGGGGTTGACCGTTGGAACTTTGAAACCAAGTGTAAGTACCCCCATGTATATCCATCAGAACTTTGAATGGTTGCTAAGCAGCTGGTCATAAGTCAAGAACTATCTGTATCCAACAGCTAAAATGTAAATTTTAAAAGAGTGTTAAATACTAAGGGAAAGCATCAATCCAGATTCAGAGGGGAAGAAGCAATCAGGCATAAATTGTCCATCCATACACTAAAGTGTGCACTGTACTTATTGACACCACATTAAATCAAATGCATCATTACTGATGTAGCAAAAGCCCAGAAAAAGCTACACTTCTGTAAGGACTTACCAATTGGTATGAGGCAAATACGTCCATGCATACCAAATCACCATTTCCTCTTTGAATCTGTATTATAGCACAATGTAAGAAAACATGGTGGTATATGTATTGTCAAATATCATTTGGTCCTATAATACACTTAATGGCAGATATAGTTTGGTATATCTGAGATGATACGATATCAGGAGAAGGGCCTTAGATGAAAAATGGCGCTTCATGAGGAAATTCACGAGGAAAAAAGCTGTTCTCCAAGTAGGTGGGCCCTTAAACTATTCTCTCTTTCTCTTTCACTGTTCCGTTCTTCAATCCAGTAGATCTCTACTGATTGACCAAACAGGGAGTAGCTCAGGGGTGAAATGCTACCTGTTTGGAGTGGTTTGCCTGAACCAATAGTAAAGATGCCAGCGGTTCGTCTGAACCGGTAGTAAAAAAAATAAATGCTACCGGATTAGGCGAACTGGTTTTTCCAACGATCAGCTTTGATGCACGATTTTTATTAGCTAGAAAGCAAGATTTCCTGCTTTCTGGCTAATCTAAATTGTGTGGCACTGCGGATTCACCCCCCTCACTGTTTGTTTACCTTTGCTGGTGCGCTCAGTAGAAGGCTCCGCCCACCCACCCAGATGTCATTATGATGCTCTGTGCATGCGCAGAAGGTCCTGCGCATGCGTGGAGGTGAGCACTCACATTGCTACCGAATCAGCAGCAAAGATAAGTGGATTTCACCCCTGGAGGAGCTTCAGAACTTTCACAAGCTCTTATGAAAGGAAACTAAGAAAATTAATTTAACAATCAGGGGCTGCTCAAAAGAAGATTTCGAACAGAAGAAATTCTGTTCTTCTTCCATAGGTCAATGTGGAAAAACAGCCAATGCAGAAAAATAGCCAATGCCATTGAAATATATGAATCCCCATACATTTCAGAACAAAATACAATGTATATTAAAACCAATGTACGTTAGGCCCAAGGACTAACTAAGAACTGTACATTCTACTACAATTTTAGTGATTAGGGTGCTGGTTTGGAAACCAGAAGACCATAATTCTCCCTTAGGCATGAAAGCAAACTGGGGGACTTTGGGCCAGTCTTTCTCTCTCAGCCCAATCCACTTTACAATGTTCTTATAGAGAAATTAGAAGGCAGGAATATTTTATTTGCTGTCTTGAAGTTTATGTAAAAATATGTTAAAAGTCCTGAGATAAAAAACTAATAAAAATAACATTTCTCAAGGATCACCAGTTATAGTTCCCTTAGTGTCTGAACTGCATTGCCTCTTCTGATCTTGAAATCAACATTGCTGGCATTTTAAAAAGCCTTATAAACACATGTTTTGAGCAGACTTTGAATTTTCGTTGGATTTTAATGCTCAATTGTAAATTTAGGAGTTTTACTAACTGTTTGAAGTTTTTATTGAAAACTGCCCTGAGGTATGGTAACTCATAGTTAAAAAAAAAACATAACAATAATACAAAGAAGCAAAAGGATCACAGAATTTGTTCCCCAAACCTTAGTTATTTCTTCTTCTAAAAGGTATTTCGGCTATCTGGTATCAAAACACTACATTTAATCAGTTTCATTTAATGTTGTTGTCGATTCTACATCCTGATGCTCATCTATCCCTTCTCTGATCTATCCCCTTCTCATGTAAACAAACAAAGAAACAAATTGCTTTAGCTACTAACCTAGCAGCTGGACTTTCCCATTAATTGATTTTACTTCTGACAGGGGCCAGCGGGGCAGACTGGTGAAAGAGGCATTAAGGGTTTTCCTGTAAGTGATTTATTTGTGTGTGTTCGTGTATGTTTTCAGCTTAATTTCACCCAAGGCATAAAGGTTGAGGTTCTACAGCATCCCCCTCCCGCTGAGACTACACCATAGCCAATAAACCAGGGATCTCCAAACGTGGCAACTTTAAGACTTGAGGACTTCCAACTCCCAAAATGCAGGCTGAGGAACTCTGAGAGTTGGATTCCACAAGCCTTAAATTTGCCAAATTTGCAGATCCCTGTAATAAGCTCCAGGGGATCAAATAAGGACTGGATCGTAACAACAAGATGAACAAGACAGGGTTCTTCATTTATCCCACTGCCCAAGGTCAGAAACAGGCTAGCACCCTCTTATAGCAGGGCGTCAAAGTTGATTTCATTGAGGGCCACATCAGGGTTGTGTTTCACCTCGGGGAGCCAGGGTGGGCATGGCCAGCTCAACGTCAATCATCAAGGATCCATTTTTGGCTGTGATGGCCTCCTGCAGCCCTCTGCCAGCAAAAACGGAGCTCAGGGAGGCCGCATGTGGTTCACTCATGGCTGCGCCATGCACGTGGTGCGCTTGATGCATACTGCACACACATGCACAGTGCAATAAACTGCAATGTGCAATTTGCTCTGCGCATGTGCAGAAGCAAAAAACAAGATGGTGCTACCTATGGCACCGCCAGGAGAACTGGTTTGGGGGTGTGGCAGGCCTGGGTCACTGCTGGTTCCAGTGACCCCGGCTGCCAAACCACTACCAATTCAGCCGAACCGGTCCAAACTGGTAGGAACCCACCACTGCCGGGAGGACCGTGCACAGCCCTCCCGATCTCCCATTTTTGCTGGCAGAGGTACCACAGGCCAGTCTTTCACTGTTTCCAGGGCAGCCCTGCAGGAAAGATCTAAGCACCACACGGATCTTGAATTTGACACCCCTGCTGTACCCTTGTTCACAACCAATTTGTCCCAGGCAGTCTTTGCTTCCTTACTTCACAAACACTCAGTGGGTAGGTTTCAAGGAGGAGTACATTACCTCTTCACCCGTCAAGTCTTCTTAATACATGCCATGTCATAAACATGACCATTATTCTTCTACATAGAACTGGCAACATCTTGAGGCTGAAGCAAGCCACAATCCGGCCACTTAGGCACTGGGCTGAGGTTGCTGAGCTGGGAGAGAGATGAGTATCAAACTGCCTGTTACTCTTCTCCTCTAATAGCCTGCCCAGCTCTTATCTCCAGCCCATTATTACTTCAACGTTCACCCTTCACACTACCCCCTCTTAGTTCTTCCTTGCTTCCTCTATTAGCTGCAGGAGTTCCAAAGGCCATCCTCCCCTCCCAGCTCACATTCATCGCTCTTCCATTCACACATCCTTCCATTCCCACTCTATCCATCTGGTGTGTATCTGATCTAACCACTCTGCCAAACCTCTTGGTGTCGGCACTCTTCTGGTTCCAGAAACAGAAGGGTCTCATCCAGAGGTGCGTTCCTATCTATTCGATCTGGTTCGGCCGAGTAGTTAGTAACTCTGGCGGATATGTGACACTACCGGTTCTATGATTGGCGATGCCATCGTGATTTTCTGTTCTGCACATGCGCAGAACAATCTTTATTAAAAAATGTAATTTTTATTTGTTTTTTAATGTTGTGTGCATGCACAGATCGTTTTAAATGAAAATGCGCATGCGCGCGGAGCAATTTTTTTTACTACCAAACTGGTAGTAACGGGTTGGAACCCACCCCTGGTCTCATCTCTTCACTTTTATTCCATCCATTATTTTTCCTTTGACTTTATTCACTCGCTACTCATATTAACTGGGGCACCAGGAGTCCCAGCCATCCCTTAGGTTCTCTCAGATCAGATGTGCTAACCTCTTTCCTATCTCATCCATGCCAGCATCTTTTTGAGGCTAATTTATTACACACAGATTGTGTAACTTCTGTTCCTTTGTGGCTTCATTTCAGTCCCATTCCCATCATCAAGACCCTCTTGAAGGACCAATAACAATTGCCCAACGCCTCCTATTTAGACCCTGTGGCTTGTATTTAATGACTGGTTGTAGCCTCAGGCCAACGGTCTAGACTTGGCCTCCAAAATGGCCTCCTCCCTGGGACACTAATCTAAATCCCCATCATCCCCTCACTGTCCATTAACCACTTGTCAGGGTCCTCTATTGTCCCATCCTTCACTTTCTGGATCACCTGATAGTCTTCATTGCCCTACATCAGTGGTTCCCAAACTTGGCAACTTTAAGACTTGTGGACTTCAACTCCCAGAAGTCCACAAGTCTTAAAGTTGCCAAGTTTGGGAACTACTGCCCTACATTGTTTCTCGTAGCAGTAGATTTCATTCTCTAATCCCATTTTACTTTCTGTCATGTTATTTTGTTTGCCACTTCTCTTATCCACTTTTCTTCTGCCTGGCCCCCTCTGTTCTTTCCTTTCCCTTTCCTTTTCCTGCTGATTTCTTCCCTCCATGTCAGTCATCATCTCAGTCTCCTGTATGATTTGTTCTCAGTCCTCTCTTTTGCTTTCCAGTTCTATCCCCATCCCCAATTCCCCTATACTGTCTGGGTCTCTTATATTGCCTTCTTCTCCCAGGATTGTGGGGTGGGGGTGGGAGGAAATGGGCTGCTCTCACTGATCAGCAACCCCTCACAGCCTCTTGCACTGCCCATTCCTGGGCATAATCTTCCTGACTGCCATGAAACCTGCCAGCCATCCCTGCCCAGTCCAGTTGGCCAAATCTGTTCCTTTGTCCAGCTCCTCTGCATACTTATGCCACCACTATTGAAACTTTGAATCAGGGGTCATAAGTATCTTTTGAGGGGGGCTGTTGTAACTTCAAATGGTTACTAAGACAACAGACCTAAGTCAAGGACTGCTTGTAATCCACGCTGATTTGAAGGAACGAAAAAGAAAACAAAATCTATACCTATTTTTTTCCTCTTTCACTTTACTCAGATTTGTAGTGGCTGCAATTTTGGGATTTCCAGCTTAAATACATCCCAAAGACCTTAGATTAGAGAAACAGCACAGAAAGACCATGTAAAAGTGGATTCTTCCATTTTGTTAAAAAAATAATAACTTCTCCCCATATATTAACTTTCTGCCTCTTTCTTCACTGGCAAAAATCTCTTTCCGTCCTTCGCATTCGGAGTTTTTCAAGGACAGTCAAGCCAGCCCTCTGTTTTCAATCCAATGCTTTTGTTTGTGGAGAGCTGCTTCTTGGGTGGGCCAGGAGATAATTTTAAAGCACACCACTAATGGATAGCGTATTTCAGGAAGAGATCAAAGCCGATGCATATTGTTAATGGATTTCAGACCCCACGCTTGTCCCTGGAGTGGTGTTTCAATAAGCCAGGTGTACCTGTGCTGAAGCAGCTGACCGCAACCACTGTTGGCTCTAGAGGGAGCCTCCTAAATGTTATTGGCAAGCCCTAGAATGGCTTGCTTGGTTTCATGACTCTACCCATTAGGTTTGTAACCCCGATCTGATTTAACAACCAATAGCATTGACTAAGCTACTGTTGGAAGCAATGTCCATCTGGGTTCAGTTCCAAGTGGGGAAAAAGACACTGGAAACACGGAGACTGTTTGGAAAGATGGTTTAATGGTGGACAGTATCACATGGCTTGAGCTCCTGAGCAGAAAAAGGGCAGAGATGCTGAGAGAGCCTGAGTTTTATACCCTCTATTGGGCCTCACCTCTCTGTTTCCTGTTCCTGTGTAAGAAATGTATCCCATTGGCTGTCAGACTCCCAGGGGGCGGAGGTCTTAGCTAACTCTGTAGGCTTGGTGTCCCAGGCTTGCTTGAGCCTTTGCTGGGTGATGTAATCTTCCCAGGTGCCATGTGGTGAGATGGGCAGAGGGCTAATCCTACCTTTGCTATGTAGAATAGACTGGCTCAGGCCTTAATGGCCCATTGACAAAAGTGGGGGTGGGAGGGCAGAAAGTTGCAGGGAGCTGCTTTGTCTTTAAAAACATGTTTCTCCTTTTCTCATTCAAGGAAATATAATATTCTGCCTTTTTAATATTTCCTAAAATACTGCATTTCTCTGGGAGAGAGGTGGCTGCTAACTTCCTACACTACTTAAGGGTTTCCTTGGAGAACATAGAGTAGCTTTCTCCAGCCAATATTGGAGGAAGAGCTGATGAGAATTGAGAGTTGGAAGTCCAGCACTTCAGGGAGAGACAACATTGGGGAATGTGGAAGGAGACTAAGATCTTGAATCGTAGCTCATAGCACGGTTCTGTCCCTCCTTTACTACTGGAAAGACACTGTTGCCAGTCTGATATCAATTTCTGTCTGCTTTTTCTTTTTCTAGGGTGAACCTGGTAAGAAAGGTGAAGAAGGAGACAGAGGTGCCGATGTAAGGATGCAGTCAACTTTTCTGAATCATTTCAGCAGTCTCTCCTTGTATCGTTGTGTAGCATTTATCTAGCATTGAGTTGGAAAAGGCCATCTCAGGTTCAGAAGCCTATTCTTGGAGTTCATAAAAAGGCCAGCATTCTAAGCCAAATGTCTCGGAAAGTAGGAGAGATTCTTTAATATTCCATGTCCTGGAGGGCTTTCCTTGACAAGTGGTAAAGCAGTGCGTGCTTCTTTGTAAGAAACTAAATCTGACAGCACTTGTGGTAAATGAGGTGACAAAGGGAGAGACCTCCTCCGACTTGATGGCATTTGATGTAGCAGGTTCACTTCCTAAAAACTCTTCTTTTCAATCACTGAAAACTCAAACTTCCCAATTAATTCAGATTCAGTAAATTCCCTGATTGTGGAGTTGGCCACTCGGGGAAGGGTAAACGTCATAGAACCAGCGGTGGGTTCCACATTTTATTACCGGTGGGTGGGATTCAAATAATTTAACAACTGGTTCTCTGCCCTAATGATTTTTTCCGACAACCAGTTTACCAAACTGCTCAGAAAGTTAACAACCGGTTCTCCTGAACTGGTGCGAACTGGCTGAATCCCACCACTGGGTTAGCCGCTCGCACACCCCTTCCACGAATGTCCCTGGCCTTTCGCGTATGCGCTTTGCTTGTGTGCGTGCCTTCCATGCATTCGCCCGGCCTCAAAAACGTGCTTAAATAGGATGGCATAGAGCCATGGGCAAATCGCCCATCCATGATTTCCGCTACTGGTTCAGGGGAACCGGTCTGAGCTGGCTGAATACCACTTCTGCTTAGAATTAAATATAAATCTGAGCAGTGATAACTCTGTGTACACCATATTCTCTGGATTAGGTTTTGGTTCAGTTTCAAGTCACCTCCAGATACTAATTCAGAAGTTCCTGTCTCTGTGGGAGAAATAACTGGAAATGGGATGGGGGAGAGAGGGAATGGGTGCCCTCTGCATATTAATTGCAGTTCATTTTGAGCCTCCAGTTGACCTTCTGTGCTTTAATTCAGGTAGAGGTTCAAAAACTGGTCAGGCAGAATGGAAATCTGCAGGAGTTTGGAAGGTGTGGAGTATAAGAAAAATCTCCAAACACCACTGTATGAGATCAAGGTCTGATTTTAAATGTGAAATACCATTGTATGATATCTCCATGCTGTTATCAGAGCTTTAACTTTAACTTTTAATAGATTTATATGTCGCCCAATCCCGTAGGACTCCAGTCATTGCATGTCAGGCTTTAAATCCTATTTGCTCCCAATTGCTCTGATCTGAACAAGAGGAGTTGAAATGCCAAATGTTAAATATGAACTGCTTTTAGCAAACCCATAGCAATCCATTGGGTTGCTTAATGACCACACTGCTTGATTAATGACTGCTGCAAGAAAGATAATAGAATTGAGTCAGTCACCTGATTGGCCCTGTTTTATGACCCTTCCAACATATGACTATAACGGGCAGGCTCCATCACAGCTGTAGGTCGAGGACTACCAGTGTCAACCATTTTGAAACAATACAGCCAGTCCTTAAGAGGTTGAATGAGTCACTGAAATACTTCCCATTTGCTTTAAGAAAAGCAAAGAGGAAATAGGAGTTTAACACTGCTGGAAGAAATGTCCATCTGGGTCAGTGGTGGGTTTCAAATTTTTTTAGAACCTCTTCTGTAGGTGTGGCCTGCTTTGTGGGAGTGGCTTGCTGGCCATGTGACCAGGTAGGAGTGACTGGGTGGGCGTGGCCAACTTGTAAAATGTGTTGAAACTCACTTAACAACACTCTTGCTTAGCAACCAA